CCCTTTACTTAGATGTAATAGTATAGTACAGAACAGTATTACTTATTTTAGTACCTTAATTAAAACTAAATAAAAAATGTTGACTTTTTTTATTATTAAGTTGTTCAATTTTATTATTATAGTTATTTATTTTCCGTTTCATGTAATTTTTTAGTTTAAGTTTTTTATTTTAGTTCACTTACAAAAAATAGATTACAGTAAGCTTTAATTAAGTAATAAATAAAAGCATTATTTTACCTCTATTTTTGCATGGGATTCTATTTTTTATATATAAGTTTTAGCCATTTTGTTGCATTTATGTAGTTTTTAATGATGTAAAAAAATTAGTTTTAGTACCAAAGGGATCAGGATGAAAAGGGAACTGTGACATCAAATGTTGGCATGTGAGTTGGAAAGCAAGTGGGATCCTCTCTGCAGTCAGACTGCATTGTTTTCACAGGTAACCCACCGAGGAGCGCAAAGAGAGCTCCAGATCAGTGGTTTCGGGGCCGGTTGTCCCCTGAGCATGTGAATGTATGAAGTGCTGCTTTAGGGAGAGCAGCACTAATGTTTCTCTGTCATTAGCGGCCCTCACGCTCTGCCCTCAGTTAGAGAGCGGCCCCTCAGGGACGCTACTGAATGTGTAATACAAAGCAAAATCCCACCACGGCTCTACATCAACCTCCTCTCGTCAAGAAAAACAAAGTTGTGGTCGGTGCGAATACAATAGGCGAACTGGAGCGCCAAGGATTTGGTCGTTCTGTAATATCAGACTTTTTCTTCTAGAGGCCCTAAGAAAAACTTTGTGATGGGAACACTATCAGTGCACTACACTGTAAAACCCAAAAAGTTAAGGCAACTCAAACTATTTGAGGAAGTTCAAAAACTAATCCAAATGAGTACCAAACTGAATCCATTTGAGTAAACGAAGCAATCTGAGCACAGTAAAATCCAATAAATGAAAAGAACTCAAACCAACTGAATACTGTAATACCTAATAAGTTAAGGCAACTCAAACCGTTTGATGAAACCGATTACAGCAAACCATTTAGTTAAAAAACTAATCTAAATGAGTACTGTGAACTTACTCCATTTAAGTTAAAGTAATGAGGTATTCAACTTATTACCTTCAACGCTGAGTTCAAAACTTTAGAATTAACTTTCAGTAAATTTTGAGTTAACAACCCTCATTTCATGTGATAAAGTTGACTGGTGGATTTAAAAGTGTAATAATAATAAATTCCCCCAAAGCCCTTAATTATTTTTTGTGCAGTTTCATAATTAACAAACAGATTAAAATATTCAATAATAAAAAAGTTGCAAGTGTTGTGCAAGTTACTTTTAAAAAGTATAGTTACAGTTACTTATCATAAAGAGTATCATAATTATAAAAGTAACTAATTACCAGAAAAAGTAACTATTGTGTTACTTTATTTAAAAAAAACCTTGACTTCCCCCAATATTATATATGTTGAATGAAATGTACACTAAATGTAATTAATTATTAATATAACACTAAATTTAACAACACCCTTTTCTATACTATGTATATTAATGTTACTGTGGGACAATGTGAGAGACAAGTATCAAATGTACTATTTTACTGTTAATAATATTACGCTTTCTATTGGGCAACAATAAAACATAATAAATGGTTTTGAATGTTTAATATTTATTATGCAGACCACCACTGGCCAGCAAATAAGTCTAAATATAAATTATGCTTCCTAAGAAATGTAATGAATATAAAGATACAATTGTGCATGTATACAATTAAGCCACATTTTATTGCCAGTAATAGTAACAGTGAAACAGTAATCTGTTTGATTACTCGATACTGACAAAAGTAACTCTCTTAGTAATGCTGTTATTCTCATCACTTGTAAATGGGTGATATTTTATTATTTGCAATACAATGGTAACAAAATATACCCTTGATCTTTCTTCCTATGGTAACAACGATAAAACATACAATCTGGAATCTGCCTCTACAATCTGGAAGTGGTTTGGTCAGGGATGTAAAATGTGACAAACCATTCGCTGAATAAGTCTACTGCAGTAGCACATGTGGGATACAGTTTTGCACGTGTATGAGATTACTATCAAAGAGATTTACCGACTTTTACTCCAAATTCACATTATAGCATCAGTCTAGTCCTTGAAATAAATTCATTGTGTGATAAGATATGGATTCTTTACTGAACTGGGAATAAATCATACTATCTTATAGAATTCTATACAGTGAATAAGCTTCATACACATATTATACACTTATAAAAATATCCAGAATATCAAAGAAGAATGCAGATAAACCATATGTTGCCGCAATTGTGTTTATTATCTTCATATTGGATCTTTTATTTAGACTTTTGTGATGCATGTATGGAGTTTATGTGCCCAAGGCGCCCTCTAGCTTATAGTATGAATAAAAAGGTTATTACTTTGCAAGTCTGCTCACATTCTTCCATGTTATGTAAAACAAGGATAAGGATGATCCTAATTCTCTCTTAAAATGCAGTACTTTTACTCTGAGTGTACACATATAAAACATCCCCATTGATATTATCGTAGTAAACAACAGTAAATATTGTGAAATAGTCCATTTTGTGCCCATCTTCATTATAGTTATTCACAGAAGAGTGGTGAATTATTCTCTCCTTGTATTGTGACTCTTTTGTCTGTTTGTTTGTGTATTTATTTAAATAATGGCACCCCCTGTTGGTTTGGAGGCAATTTGTGTAATGTGTGTATTGGACGGATCGGTTCTAAGCATTGTGAAGGGAAAGCTCATTTTCTATTAATCAAAAGCTGATTTCAGAAACTAGAATTTAATGCGCCTCTATGCCTTGTGCCCTGCATTACAGGTAGTGTATTTGATGTTGGAGGACGTCTATGGCTAACACCTGTGGATAAATCATAGACTGAGCTGCTTTAACACGCTTTGTTCTGCTCTTCGCGCTTTCATGACAAAAAACTGCAGGCTGCTGTTTGAGCTCAAAGTCTGCAGAGAGAGAGAGATTTATATCATATCAAATTTCACATCATCTTGTGAAGGTTAAAACAAGTGGGTTTGGTTTAGTTTTTGTTGAGATCAGTATATAAAAATTTGCATTGTTTAATACATTGATTTATTAAGGTTCCATTGGAAACATAAATAAATAAAATTAATTTATTGTAATAGACTAATTTTAACTTTGTTTATTATACAAGTCAGAACTTATTAGCCCTCCTAAATTATTAGCCTTTTAAATAATATACCCCCTGTATATTTTCTCCCCAATTTCTACTTAATGGAGAGAAGATTTTTTTCAACACATTTCTAAACATAAGTTTTAATAACTCATTTCTAATAACTGATTTATTTTAAGTTTGTCATGATGGCAGTTAATGATATTTTACTAGATATTTTTCAACACACATTATCATAGTATATTATTCAGCCTAAAGTGCAATTTAATGGCTTAACTAGGTTAATTATGTTACCTAAGAGAAGTTAGGCTAATTAGGCAAGTCACTGTATAATGGTGGTTTGTTGTATAATGTATTAAAAGCCATATTGCTTAAAGAGGCTAGTAATATTCACCTTAAATTGGCTTAAAACTAACAAAAAAATATCCAGAAAATGTTTTCATTCTAGCTGAAGACTTTTTCCAGTAGAAAACATATTTTTGGAAATACTGTGAAAATGTCCTTGCTGTGTTAAACATTCATTCATTCATTTTCTTTCGGCTTAGTCAAATTCAAAATAATTTCAAGTTCAACCTATTTCTGTTATATTTTGGGTAATGCTTATTTAATGTTGTATATTTTTAGATTTGATGGTTTTAGTTAATTGTAATAACCATGTTTTAAAGTAAAAAAGAAAAGAAAGTTAAGCTAATTAAACAGGTATATATTTTTTCATTGAAGTTTAACATTAACTTTATTTTCTGTAATTTATTTGATGCTTTTTTATTTATTTTTTTATAGTATACTTTTTATGCATTAATTATTTATCAAAAATAACTATATCAATTAATACAAAACACAACTTGAGTTGTTTAGATTAGGGGTGCCCAAACCTTTTCTTATGAAAGGTCAAAATCCAAGCTTGATTGAGAGCTGTAGGCTGAAGGTAAGCAATACAGCAAACTGTATAACATTAAAGTTGCAATGGGTATTTTCCTAACTTGTTTCATAATACTTAAAATAAAAAGAAAAGACAACTTGTATTACTGTATTTACTACTGCATTTCAAATGTATTCCATATTATTTTAACAAAATTTGCATTTTCCTCCAGTGACACCATGTACAGTACATTTAAAAAAAAATTATTTTATTAATTTACAACATTTAATTGCAACATTTATTTTAATTTTTGTTTGTTTTTTTTTGTAGCTCAACAATAAAACAAACAGACAAAAGGTTACATTAAAATAAAAATGAGAATCTCTGTTAAACCTCTGGCAGGCCAAATCAAAGGATACAAAGGACCAACCTTGGCCCTAGTTTGGACATCTCTGGTTTAGACAATGGTTTCAATATCTTGGCAGAACTACAGTATGATAAATTATTATTTAGAAGCACAAACTCCAGTAGGTTGTTGTTTGCTAAAGTATCAGTTTACAAAAATAAAAAAAATGACTTCGCTGTTTGTGCTGCACATTGAAGACAAGAGAGGCTCAGCTTGGGCAAATTTCCCCAAAGACATCAGCACTGCCTGCTCTAATATTAAAACATCTCCAACCCTCTGGCTTTAAGACAAATGGAAAAACAGTGGCGTTAATAGCCTGCTGCCACCCTTCAGTGTACCAATTTAATTATCTTTGGTCCATCGTATTGCGAAGCAAGTAATTGTTTGATTCCACACTAGCGAAGAGGCTGAAATGGCAGAAATTGAAAGCTAAAGGCTCCAGGAACAAGATTCAACAGCCTACAGGACATCCCAATGAAACTACATATTCTCATTTCCCTTAATAATGCTCTGATGAAGGATGTTGTGATATTTGACAGTTGAACTTGAACAGAGATTATGACTTACCTTTTTTATCATCATCCTCCTCATCATCCTCATCACCATCTTCATCACCATCCTCCTCATCACCACCGTCTCCTTCCATAGGCTGTGTTTCACCTGTTAAAAAAAGTGATATAGTTAATGAGAACTTCAATCAAATAAAAATAAGTATTGTGATTGTAATTATGATTGTAACAATTATAATTAATTAGAATTATAGATATTATAATTATTATACAACATATACATGCAAGCCTATCCAGAAAAATAAATAATAAAATTAAGGAAATATAACACAATAAAAAAGTTATTATAATGAAAGAAAAGGGCGGTGTGGTGTCCCAGTGGGTAGCGCTGTTGCAGCAAGAAGGCCACTGGTTTGAGCCTTGGCTGGGTCAGTTGGCATTTCTGTGTGGAGTTTGCATGTTCTCCTCGTGTTCACGTGGGTTTCCTCTGGGTAAGCTAAATTGTCCGTGGTGTATGTATATGAATGAGAGTATATGGCAGTTTCTCAGTGATACTGTAGGTTGCAGCTGTGTAAAACATATGGTCGAAATGAAAATGAATGAATAAATGAAAGAAAATAAGTGAAGTAATTGTGTGTTATTTAGCAAGGACTAAATCATTCATGAGAACCTTAGTACAAAAAAACTAAAGTTTGTTTATTTATTTATTCACTTATTTTCTGAAGAGAATGTTTTGGCTGATTGTAAGATAATAACTAATATATTTAGAATTGGACTTCACATACTGTAGTTCAGGAATCATAATTTTATATTTTACCAAGAATAATCAGCAAGCACTGTTGATTAACAAATGGCGAAACATATATTAAAAATATGTCTTTGTTTAGTTTTAATTGAAGTTTAGATTGTTTTTAATGTAAAATAACAAATATACTAATAATATTAATTATTTAATTAGGACAGTAAGGTCTGACTTAGCTTTGACAAACGTCTTGTCACTTAAGAGAAATAATGTACAGTGAAGAATATAAAGTCATGGTGCAGTAGGAAAATAATTAATATTGTGTATGACTCCCATGAGCTTGGACAACTGCGTCAATACATCTCTGCAGTGACTCAAATAACTTATTAATAAAATCATCTGGAATGGCAAAGAAAGCGTTCTTGTAGGACTCCCACAGTTCATCAAGATTCAATTCCTTCTCCTCCATCTTACCCCAGACTTGCTCAATAATGTTTATACCTGGTAACTGGGCTGGCCAATCCTGAAGCACCTTGACCTTACTTGCTTTCAGGAACTTTGATGTGGAGGCTGAGGTATGAGAAGGAGCGCCATCCTGCTGTGTAAATTGCCCTCTCCTGTGGTTTGTAATGTTATGGGCAGCACAAATGTCTTGATACCTCAGGCTGTCGATGTTGCCATTCACTCTGCAGATCTCTCACACGCCCCCATACTAAATGTAACCCCAAACCATGATTTATCCTTAACCAAACTTGACTGACTTCTGTGACAATCTTGTGCCCATGCGGGTTCCAATGGGTCTTCTGCAGTATTTGTGATCATTTGGATGCAGTTCAACAGATAATTCATAAGAAAAATCTACCTTTTGCCACTTTTCCAAATGATCAACTAGAAGTCAAGTTATTATTTGTTGCTCTGGCATAGACGACAAGACTTTTGTCACGTACTGTAGTGTGCTACTTATAAACCCTATTCATTTCAGAAAGAAATAAAAGAAAAAAAAAAACACATACAGGTCCGAGACAAGCCTCACTGAACAGCTCTGATAAGGGTGAAAAGAGCAGAGGAATATCCTACTATTGTGTCCTCAGCATATACACATACAGCAGGTGATTCTGCACCAACAGGGGCTTTTTGTACGCCTCGGCAAAAAAAACTGGCAGATAAAAAAAAAAAAATGGGGTCCATAAAACTGTTGTGTCAGGCATTCTGGTGAAAGACAGCAAGAAAAAGAAGGTGAAACAGAGAGAGAGACAGAAGCGGATTGATTGATAGAGAGCAGGAGGGAGCTGATACAGGGGGATAAGAGAGGAAAAAAGCACCTCAATTCCATGTGAGAACGGCAACCATTTGAGCCTTTGAATTGGTTCCAGAGAGAAAGAGAGAGAATCAGAGCAGCGGCTAAGTGAAGCGCCGCTAAAGGCCAGGGCTTGGGTGACAGTCAGACATTCACTCAATGAAACTGAGGCTAAGCTTGCTGAAACCGCTGGGCCAGGAAAAAGCAGGCCACTCAGTGTGTGAGTGTGTGTGTGTGGGTGTATATGTGTGTGATACTTGTGTGCTGTGAACGAGATACAATCCTGATAGGTGTTGCCATGTCTGGTCGTCCTGGACTAGTGTTTACAATGAGGTATAACAGTGTCCACAAAAGAAGTGATTGGTCTCCTGGTTTGGTGCAGAGGTAAACACAATCACACAAAGTCGCAACATAAAGTCTTACAGTAGTTCAGAGGGCTGTTAGGTGCTAACAACATTTTGTTTTTTTAATAACGTGGTTGTAAAAAGAAATCACTGCTAGGTGCTGAAAGAAAATGCTTGGTTTTGATGGGTGTAGTGTTTCAGCTAGTGTCTCACAAAAAAATCAATTTCATCATTCTATGGAGTTTAAAGTGATTGTTCACCCAAACTGAAAATTCTGTCATCATTTAGTCACCATTCACTTGTCAAACTTGGTTGAGTTTCTTCTTATTTTTTCTTCAATGTTGGAAACCAGTTAAATTCCAAAGTAATTGTTTTTCCTATATGGAAGTTAATGGTTACAGGGTTGTAACATTCTATATAAAAGTAACATATTTTGTGCTCCAAAAAACAAAAACAAAAAAAAACTTGGTGTGGAGGTTAAATATCTCTTTAAATGACTTCAAGAGAGCAGGAAAAACAGGGCGCTCGGTTTGAGACAGGTTTATGTGGTTTACAAGTAATTACGAAGACATTTTAACATTTACATTAAGAAGACATTATAACAGTGATATTATAGGTATTACGATAGCTATGATCCCATCCAGAGATGCAAAATAAACTCAAGTGCAAAACTGTTAATCACATAACTTGCAAATAAAGCACATTTTCCATCCAATGAGTCAAAGAGAACAAAATCATCGCTTTCTGATGAACTTGGGCAAACATAAAGAAAAACAAAGGAATTTGCTTTGGTTCACTGTAAAAATATAAATTAGTCCTGACAGCATATGTTTTTATATTTGTAACTTGTAACTTATTAAACTAAGTTAATCATGTTCTAACTTAATTTTATTAGTTACGCAAGCTCTTTTAAGTCAGTTTAACATAATTGAATTTCGATGGACTCATAAGGTTAATTTGTTTGAGCTTACAAATTAAGGTTACCAAAACTTTTACATTATATATTTTACATTATAGCAGAAGCAGGTCTTTATATATATATATATATATATATATAAAGACCTGCTTCTGCTATAATGTAAAATATATAATATATAATATTATATTATATAATATAATATAATATAAACCATATATATATAGTCATTTGACTAAAAGATTTTTTAAGTAACGCAATAGTTACTTTCCCTGGTAATTAGTTAGTTTTATAATTATGTAACTCAGTTACTAACTCAGTTACTATTTGTGAGAAGTAACTATAACTAATTACTCTTTTAAAGGAACATACCCAGCACTGGTGTTGCCATATCAGGTCACAATCACACAAAGCCACAACATAAAGTCTTACAGTAATACTGAGGGCTGTTACCATAAAATATTGTGGCTGTAAAAGAAGTCAGCACTGAACTTCTTGCTGAAAAAAAAACTTGTTCGGGATAGGATCTGGTTTTGATGGGTGTCTCGTGTTACGGCTAGCCCTGCAAAGAGTTTCTCACATTTGTAGTAAAACTAATAGTGTGCAGCTCTGCTTTTTTCCACTTCACGTCATTGAGGTATGAAAATGTTCTTGTGCTTTAAGACATTTCATTTAGTACTGCGGATGCTTTGCCCTCTGTGGAAACCATTAATGTTGGTCTTGTTACTGTGACAAAAAAAATATTTTTTTCCAAATCAAGAAAATGAAAAAAAAAAATAAATAAATAAAAAACATTAAAAAACAATAATAAAACAAATAAAAACAAAATAAAACAAAAATAAAACAAAAAACAAGATAAATAAAATAAAATAAAATAAAATAAAATAAAATAAAATAAAATAAAATAAAATAAAATAAAATAAAATAAAATAAAATAAAAAATAAAATGCAGTTTACGTGAAACAACTGACCTGGTTTAAATGTTCAAATTCAATAAAAAATATATTTTAAGATCTATAAAGCCACCATAAATATATTTATTTCAGCTTTATTTTAGTTCCTAAAACATTTTAATTTTAACAAAAAGAACACTGCTACTGTAATCTGAATGAAATTTGAGCATTTCCAGTGACTGGTATCATCGGACCTGCACTGGTTTTGTAGTCCAGCCTAAACCTAGAGATAAACCCAGATTAAATTGCCACTGAACGACTCTCAGTTGTCTTCCTAACAGTCTCTTAAGCAGGTTTACGTCCATTGTGGGTCTGTAAGCCGGATTTAAAGGCCTAGCGCTAGGAATTAGCTTAGCACTGAATCATTTGTACTGCTGTACCTGCCTCTCTTTAGCTCCGGTAGCAAGCGCGCATTAGTCACAATGAAACACCTTTATTTTCCATCTTCTTTTGTCACTGTTAATGTACAGTTAAGGAGGCCTGCACATGAAAACCCTGTAATCTTTTCTTCTTTTCCGAAAGCCAACAAAAAAAGGTGAGGGCATTTACATCTGAATGGACCACGATAAAAAGAAGACACGCAAAGCAAATTGCAATCCCATTTGATGTATGATTGCCAACAACGTGGCCAGTGGGTCCGATTTGCTTTCAATCAAAATATGGCTACAACAATTTATTCCAACGTCTGGCAACCTTCGTCTCAATTAACCGGCCAAAAGACCAAAGGTGCGCATAGGAACGCTAGCAAAGCTATCTCAAGCATTCTGAGGGAAAATGCAGACTCTTGTTTTCTTGTTTATAGGCAATTGTGGAGCTGCCACCCGCAACAAAAGGCTCGATTAATCACGGAGCAAGCCATTCAGATGCTGCAGATTAAGCTTCCAGGATATTGGATGTGATAATTTCCCGTCTTGTTGGCAATTGCGAAACACCACATTAGAAGACACTGTCACTCACCTTGCTCCATTTTGCCATCGTCTTCTTTCTTGCGGTCGTCATTATCTGTGAGAGACAGGAAGAGAAATAGCAGAGGTCAAAAGCTGCGACGGCAAGCCTGGCATGATCAAAAAAGCAGACTGGTGAGCGTGGATTTCCGTGGGCTCATCCCTATTAGTGGAGTAATGAGAATTTTAGCAACGCAGGAATACAATGCACGTCTATTTACAGAGATGGCCCCCTTCGCGAGAACTCAGAACGGGGCTGAACAGGAAACGGAGGCAGAACAAGCATTGATTTTTACATTAAATCCAAGGTTTCTCTGAGGATTGAAAATATGTGGTTTGCCGAGTCCCCCAGGCAGTTAGTTCTAATGAAAGCTGAGCAGAGACAAGCCGAGAGCTCGCAGTCTGTTTGATCTGGATTGATGTATTATTTGAGTTCAGGCTGCTATCAAACGCTCATCTGCGGAAAGACAATCGCGCTGTTTGATATGATCCAAGCAGCAATTAAATTCAGCATTTGGCAGAACGCCGAGATTGTTGCAGCTGAGGTCGAAGACTCCATGTTTATAGCAGTGGTTCCTAACCGGTTTTGGATCAGGACTTGTATTTTGCGCCATCCAAGTAGTCGATTTTATTCTATAAATTTAGATAACTAAAATGTAAAACAAATGCAATAACATGTAACAAATATATTTATGTTTTTTTCATAATTTAGTATAAACACTAAGAGCAGCAATGTGATTAACCATCTTAACACATGAAGACATTCCCCAAATTCTGGGATGAACTGACTATTAAATATAATAGTCATTGGCATAAAATATTTTAATGTAAACAGAAAGTAATGAAACTGGTCCATACTTATAATATGATTGCATAAGGGTCCATCTATTAGTCCAATGGCGGAACTAACAGCATGGGTAAAGTTTAAATGCGTGTAAGCCTTTTTTGTTTTAAGCACATGCGAAAGAAATATTTTAACTTATTAGAATTTATTTAAATTAGTTTCAAGCTCTGAATTTAATCTGACTTCAATTTCAAGTGATCATTCAATTTTAAAGGTATTCCTAATAAGGAATTGATCACATTTATAAATGAGGAATGAATTTAGATATTTGACTTTGTTTTAAACATCTCGTCTTTTTATTTAATGGTTCATCTTTTACCCAAAGTCACCTATAGTCAGTAAGCTGGCCTGTTACATCTTCTCATAGACACAACCTCACCAGTTTTGGTTCTTAGATAGAGGATATAACTGTAAACTAATTTCCTTTAATAGTAATATTAGGCCAGGCGATGGGGTGGTGCAGTGGGTGGCCTCACAGGAAGAAGGTCGCTGGCTCGAGCCTCGGCTGGGTCAATTGGCATTTCTGTGTGGATTTCGCATGTTCTCCCCTTGTTTGCACAGGTTTCCACTGGGTGCTCTATAGGTGAACTGGGTATGCTAAAATTGACCGTATTGTATGTGTGTGAACATATTCTGGATAAGTTGGTGGTTCCTTCCGCTGTGGAGACCCCAAATTAATAAAGCGACTAAGCCGAAAAGAAAATGAATGAATAATATTAGGCCACCCCATGCTTGCTCATACATAAAGAAATTTTGATTTTGCCACATTAACAAGTGAAATTGTGAAATATTACATTAAAATTAAGACCACATTACCAATTACACAGAGACATTAAAAATGATACCAAACATGAATATAGATCCACATGATACACCATATTAAAAACCTGAACATTCTGTGTTGAGTGATCTGTTTGTTTTATTGCACAACATTTCTCCTGGTCTTATCTCATAGCAGTTCTTGGGGTCTGATATTATGGATAGTCATGGTAGCCATCCTTAGCCATCCTTACAAAATTAAATGTTTTAATCTAACTAATTACACAATGTGCGAATACATCAACCAAATGAATTGTGTATTAGATGATTAAACTACCTCAAAAAAAAAAAAAAAAAAAAAAAAACTTATAAAATACAGATTACAAAAGACGCTTTGGAAAGCCTTTGTTTATGAATTAATTACTTCATAATAAAAAAAAAATATTATATATTCATTTAGTTTTTAAAATATCTTTAATGTTCTGCAAAAGAAATAAATTATTGAATCTTTAAGATAATATAAAGATAAGTAAATGATTTTCTGTCTACAATTTTTACAGAAATTTTAACTTTTCTTTATGAATAGTCAACTAAGTTACTGCTGTACTCAGTTTGTTAAAACAGATTCATTCATAAATTAATCAACAATGCATTGATCAAATACACACAACAGTTCTGCTGTACAGAAAAAAAAAAATCTAAAATATAACATGAGATTTACTGATCTGTAGTATTGATTGGTTATAACACCACATTTACACTATTCAGAACAAAACAGCCCTTATGTAATATTGGACTTATTATTTGCATTTTTATTAGTTTTATTTTTCTTACTTTTTAATATAATACTTTGAAGAAATATATTTAAAACCCCTTCTTTCTGTTTCGAAGACATTCTCTTTTTATAAGTCGAAACTGATAAGTCTTGAGAATTTTTTTTGTATCCTGACCCACACGTTGTGAAAAACTGATCTGTAGGATCTGAGTGATATGACCACACTGTAGGTAAAAATACCTGTATTTCAGCCATCTGCCAGCTAAATATGCAGGGATCAGCATTCCTCTAGCGCTCGGCTCTCTTTTATTCTCTTCTCTGTTCTTGTTCTCTCTCATTCCCTGCTGCACAGGTCCACTGCTCTCTTTAACTCAGTTGTTTCTTCTTTTTCTTCTCGTCTGTTATTTTTTTTAAACACTCCCAGCTCAGAAATCTTGCCAAAGAAGTCAATATGTCCCCTGAATTTTGCCTTTCTCTTTTTCTGCATGAGTCTCCTTTCTCTTTTTGTGTGATGCCAAACCTACTGGACCTAAAGTCTGGCGCCGGCAGCCAAAGCTGTTCCCTGCCTGGTTACAGCTCGTTAACCATCCCTGACGACTGCTAGCTATTACCACAAACCAAACAGGTTCCAATTCATACACTGCTAACTCATAATTGGATCTATTTTCCCAGACACCTTCAAGAAAACTGCATTTTTAAAAGAAAAAGAAAAGAAAAGTTTTATTTTCCCCAAGTCAAGATAAAATGAAATCATTTTCTTTTAGCGTACGTTCCACATGTTTCTGATCTTATTGTGAGCAATTCCTTAAGTGCAAGTTCTAATCTTTAATAAAAATTGTTCTTATTTCCAAACAAACTTTTTGGGTGTTTTTTGAAACCATTAAGGTATAGAACACTTTATATAATCTACCGATCTTCTAAAACATACAAAAAATCATCATACTCCGAGAAAACTTTTACTCAAAAAGTTTACTCAAATTACACCCTGCTTTCAAAAGACCTTTGTAATTAAGTTGTAGAGAGGCGCAGATTAGGAGAACATTTCAAGGACTGGAAAATATATTTGGAATTTGATTTGATTTCAGGCTATATGACAAATAAAGTAATTATATATATATATATATATATATATATTTATATATAAAAGAATTATTTTATTCGTCATACAGCCTGAAATCAAATCACATTCCAAATATATTTTTCAGCCCTTGAATTAATTGATTTTACAGAACTATAAGTATATAGTTATCGGGATTTAAGATGACTTATAGCATCATATGATATTTTTGTCACGTCACCCAGCCCTACTTCATATTATGTTGTATAGATTAATGGCAAATCACTTTGAATTCATTAACAACTTTTTTTTTCAAACCTTAAGCCTTCTGCAGGCCTGATGAGCATGTCATCCTCAGACAGGCACATGGTCACACACAGAAAAACACATTCACAGACTCACACATTCAGCCTCTAGCAAAAGCTCCTGCTTTGATAAAACACTCCTGTCATCTGCTCATGAGAGAAAGACTGTCAAAGCTCCCTCAGGATGGCGAGGCCGTGTTTTTCCTTTTGTTTAACACAGAATAAAAGCAGAGCATGCATTTATCTGGGGGAGAAAGGGAGAAAAAACTGTGACATCATAACATGCTGAGTCATGCTGGACAGGGAGCACAACTCTTTGGACAACCTTCAGTAACGAACAAGTGCCCTTTGTGCATTAATGCTGCCAGCTGCAAATGTGATGCATTCCTATACTGTTGTATGATTTTTTTTACACATAATTTTATTATGTGAAATACAAAAGGCATGCAAGAAGCGATGCTTCTTAGACATATACATTAGACAATTAGACATATAAAACCAAAAAGCTATGAAGATATACACAGGGTGGGTCATTTATATGGATACACCTTAATAAAATGGCAATGGTTGGTTATATTAATGTCCTGTTTGTGGCACATTTGTATATGTTCGGGGGATTGTAAATAACTCATGAAAGAATAAAGTTACTTTTATAACCAAGCAAACCATTGTTTTTCTTGTGAAATTCCCAATAAGTTTTTTAAGGTGTATCCATATAATGGCCAACCCTGTAGTATGATACGATATATGTAGACTGATGGACAGATAGATGGATGGACAGACGGAAGGATGGACGGATGGATGGACTGATGGATAGATGGATGAAGACAGACTGACATACGGTCTACAGACACACAGACACACAGACACACAGACACACAGACACACACACACACACACACACACACACACACACACACACACACACACACACACACACACACACACACACACACACGTGTGGATAGATAGATAGATTGGATATAATGACAGAACGATAAATGGAATGATGGACAGATATAACAATAACCATATAGAATGAAAGACAGACGGACGAACAGAAGAATGACTGGATGGATGAAAAGACAGGTAAAAAAGACAGACAGACATACGGTAAGATAGATAGATGGATGAATGAATAATAGAACAATAGAATGATAGAACAATAGATAGAACAATAGAAAGGTAGAATGACAGATAGATATGATGATAGAATGATAGATGGAACAATATATATATAATAATAGCTAACTAGCTAGCAAGCTAGCCAGCCAGCCACAGACAGATATGGATGGATGGATGAATGGATGGATAGATG